GGCAGGCGGACCTCTGTGACTTCGAGCCCAGCCTGGTCTCCAAAGTGAGTTCCAGGAAAGATGCAAAGCTACCCAGAGAAACCCTGTCTTGAAAAAAAAAAAAAAGAAAAAAAAGAAAAAAAAGATTTTTGGGGAATTTGGGGAATGATGATGTTGAAAAATAATGGATGGAGGGAGCAGGTTTAACAGGATTTTTCAGACTCAAGACTTATGAAAAATTGTAGAGATAAAACAAGAGTGGGAGAAGAGAATATCAAGGGAAGAGAATATCAATGTATGTTGCAGTTCCCATAAAAATCTGGCAAGACAAATGTGGATATTTAGAGTGTAGAGTGTCAATTTTAGAACTGTTAAACAGAAATGGCTTTGTCCTATAAGTATAGGCATTCTTACTGGTCGGCTACTTTCTGCATTTGGAGAAACTGAAATCTGGCTAAAAAGCACAGGCTGGTATTGAAGGTGGGGTATGTGATGATTATACATAACTTGTAGCCAATCAATTTTTTCCCCAGAGAACATGTGACCAATGAATCTCCAGGGCACTATTAAATAATATGACTAGACTAAAGCTTTGGACAAAGGAAAGATCATATTGGGTATAACACAGGATAGCACTATTTTAGGTAGATAATTTAAAACACAAAATTACTCCTAGGGCCATTCTGCTGTACCAATTTTTTTGTGCCTTGCTCAGCCATCATCAGAGAAGGTTCTTCTTGTAGTAGATAGGAACCAATACACAAACCCACAACTGTACAGAGTGTAAGAGATTTTTGGAGTACTCAGTCCTAATGGGATGCTGTCATCAATCCCACTTCTCAGGCATCATGGATCTATGTGTAAGGGAAGCAGAATGATTGTAATGGCCATTCATGATATATGACTCCAAAGAAACACTGTCTTCCAGACACAACAGGACTGATGCACATGTGAACTCACAGAGATTGTGGTACCTGTAAAGGAACTTCACAGATTCAAGCCACATGCGCTCTCGTCCCTAACTAAAAAGCTATCTACAATTGATACCCATTAAAAACAAACAAACAAACAAAAAGAATGTCCTCTCCAATAGAGTACTAATCACACTTCAGATTTAACTATTTACTTTAGGGTAAGCCCCATGCTCAGGAGAAGGGCTTAAAAAACAGTAGTATTGTTGGGCAGTGGTGGCACATGCCTTTAATCCCAGCACTCGGGAGGCAGAGGCAGGCGGATCTCTGGGAGTTCAAGGCCAGCTTGGTCTCCAAAGTGAGTTCCAGGAAAGGCTCAAAGCTACACAGAGAAACCCTATCTCAAAAAACCAAAAAAAAAAAAAAATAGTATTTATAAACACTTCTTTGTCCCATATTGCTTTGTTTAGGTATTTTTTGCCTTTTGTCTTTTCTTTTGCTCATTGATTTTGGTGTCCAATTTTGTGTTTGGGTGGTGGTTGTGGTGGTGGTGGTGATGGTGGTAGTGGTGGTATGTGTGTTTTTCTTGTTTCTATGTATACCCCAAAGAGAGAGAAGGAAAGGGCATGGATAGGTAGAAAGGTGGGGAGGATCTGGGAGGAGTTGGGTGGGGGCATGATCAGAATATAATGTGTGAAAAACTGTTTTTCAATAATAAAAGGCAAGAATACGTTCAAAAGAAAAAGAAGGCAAAAACTGAACCAAAACCAACAACAGCAAAAGAAAAACAAACAAAAAGCAGCCATAACATCATTGCTTCCTAGTTGTTTTCTCCAGGTTGAAACACTCTCTCATGGGGTGGACAGGGAAAGGTTCATTAGTCTCCAGAAGCTCAAGACATTTATGAGACTCACAAAGTACCTTACCCCTGTTTTAATGCAAGCAACAACCGCTAGCAGGAAAAGGACTCTTCATCAGTGAAGTTCCCACGGAAGCTTCCAATGAGGTTGTATAGGGAACTCCACTGAGCCTGAATCTGTGAGATGTCACCCATGCTGCTATGGATTTGTGGTGTTGTAGGTGCCTAAGTAACTCAAGTTCCTTGAAGTGTTCCTAATGAACAGTGGCTCACCAAGCTAGAACTAAGCTGAAGTGTTTCTTCATTCTATTGTTAGTGTCACTAATATAAGAATAAACAGACGTTTGTTCACATGCTCCCAGAAAAAAAGTTTACCCAAAACACTTGATACCCAAATAAGGACCAATAGCTTTGTTTATTTTTCTATTGCTGTGAAGAGACACCATTACCAAGGCAACTTATTAAAATATATATATATATATATATATATATATATATATATATATATAATATTGGGCATGTATGGCACTGGAACAGTAGCTGAGAATTTACATCATGAAATAGAGAGAGGCACAGAGAGAGAGACAGAGCGAGACAGACAGAGACAGACAGACAGACAGAGACAGAGAGACAGAGAGAGGCACAGAGCAAGTGAGAGAGACACAGAGAGAGATAGTGAGAGAAATAGAGATAGAGACCTAAGTGGGGATGATATGGGCTTTTGAACCCTCAAAGCCTTCCTCCAATCACACACACACACACACACACACACACACACACACACACACACACACACACACCTCCTGCCATACCTCCTAATCATTGCCAAACATTTCCACCACCAAACATTCAAATAGATGATTCTATTGAGGTCATTCTCATCTAAACTACCACACCAACAGAAACAAAGTTGAACTACAGAGGATCAGTAGCATAGCCTATAATATGGGTGATAAGACATGTAACTGAGGTATACCTTAAGATGGAGGAGCATTTACTGGGACAATCAGATAGGGCATATTTCACTGAGGGTGTGTGCTGGTACATCTCCTTGCTGTAGATTTTATGATGGCCATATTCCTCTACATGGTTTGGAGTTACACTCTTCTTTGATGAATATGGTCTTACATGCACATAAAGTGATATTATCAAGATGACTGAGTAACTTCAGAATATATTACAATCCCTAAATATGGGATATATGAGATGCCACTATAAGTAGGTTGTGGTGGTTATTTCAAGGCCTCAGTTATGGGCAACAAGACACATGACTAAGGTGAGATTTCTGCCCCCTTCCAAAGAAAAATTCTTGCATGGAAAAAATCAGAATAACAATGTTAAAATGTGTGAAGTGTCTTCTGCATCAGTCTTTGGTCTGGAAGGAAAATAGGGGAAAAATAAGGATTGGATATAACTGAGATCTGCACAAATTTGATCTGTGTGAACGAGCACTTCTTGGGATCCAAAACTTGGAAGCCAAGGGGAGAAATAGATGATGAAGAGGGAAAGATTTTGATGGAAATGATAGACGATGTCCTTCATCTTTGATTTTTTTCCCCAAGACTGGGCTTCTCTGGCTGTCCTAGAAATCACTCTGTAGACCATGCTGGCCTCAAACTCACAAATATCCACCTGCCTCTGCCTCCCTAATACTGGGATTAAAGGTATGTACCACCACTGCTTAGCATATTTGATCTTTAATAGAATGGAAGGAAAAAAATATATGATTCAGCATGATGATAGTCCCTTAATAACATCCCTTACAGGAAACCATGATAATCAAGTAATTCTCTGCATCTGGATTGAATTAAGACAAACCATTAAACAAGAAATTAAAGAGCTGCTAAGCTTGGCATGTGGTATTATGTTACACAAGGACAGACACCACCAATCAGAGTGCTGTTGAAATTGAGGAGCCAAGAAATAGAGCCTCTTCATATTGCCCCTAGAGTCAAAAGTTGCATAATTCGTGGCATTAGAAAGTAAACTCCATCCTGACAGAATGACTTGTAGGGAACTTTAAGGGCATACAATTGTTACTGATTGACTTTCTTATAGATATCATGAACTTAAAACCTGAAAAATCACACTTTTGAGCTATTAAAATATTCAAGAGGCAATGTTGAAATTCTTAAAGAAAGTGTATGCAAATTATGGAGACTGTTTGGGTCACTCAAAAGCAACAGGAGCAAGGTTAGTGTCAAGTCAGAGTTTCTAAAGAGTAAATATGACAAAATGCCAGACACCATGCAAGCCTAAACTTGTCAAACCTAGAAATCAGCTTAAACACCCAAGGCAGTAGTGAGAAAGGACATATTTCCTCTTTACCGTGATCCAGGCTGATCAATATGAACAACCCCACCATCTGTGCCACCATACCTAACATTGCCCTTTTAATGAAAGAGTGGATGGATGTGCTGGGGTCTTTTCTTGATGAACTGGAAATTAAAACATGTCTTTTTATACAACTTCTAGGCCCTGAATCCCAAACCATTTGCATTTGCTTCGATGGGGCATGGAGAATAGTAGCAGTGGTCTTGCAGAAATCATGTCTATCTTCCAAAAAATGATTTTACTATGTAATGCTATCTCCAGCATCTGGAAGCAGAATAAAAACATCAAAACATTTGAATGCAATGAACCTGTAGGGTTACAAAGAGGGACTCCAAGAAGTTATAAGGTTGCTTTCAAGATGGACTATTCTATCGTCTAAGGTGTTGTACTCAGAATTCACACATTTGTCTTATGAGATGTTGGCCAGGGAGGCCACTAAAGGTCACACAGAAAACAAGTTTCTTATTACTGCTGGGGTTACACTGAAGAGTTAGATGATAAATCCCCATTGCTAAAGATGTTGCAATGCCTCAATGTTAGCTCTGAGTTAGAGGCTTCCTCTCTGCTGAATCACTTTTATGGTGTAGAAACCACTATGCTGACCCCTCACAGAAAGTGGTCATTGCCAGTCCTGTCTGATTATGCAAATGGATGAGAAGATAATCATAGTCTTGCAATAGTGACTTGATTGCTATGGATAAGACCAACTACTTTACAATTGGGTACAGAACCAATACATAGTGATAGATACTTGGTCTTGTAAGCTAGGGGAAAAATCTATGGCTGGGAAGGTATTAGGATTAATTAGAAATGCTACTTCTATTGTTCGGTTAGATGGATATGATATGCCTATCAATTTGTCTCCTAGACATTTTTGTTAATGCTTATAGATTTCTACTGCTTTCTCTCTTTTTCAGAAAAGCTTGTTTCAGAAGACAATCATTACTGCAGTTTCTTAAATGTCAAACTGCTGAGAATACATGAGTGAGTGTTGCAGCAGGTAAGCCTTATACTCAGCAATAATGAAAGCAAAAATGAACAAACAAACAAAACAACCAAACAAACAAAAAACAAAAAACAGACATCTGTTTATTGCCCTCCGTAGGTCAGAGAACATTGTGTAAGAAATTAGAACAAATATTAAGTGTCAGAGGAAGAAGTTAAGTGCTAGGCAGCTGGTTCCTCCACACTGAAATAATCCTTTGTGGAGGGAAGCAAGGAGCAAAACAAAATTCCAGAAATTCACAAAGCACAAGGATTTCCTAACATGACAAGACTTTCACAGACCATCCTGCAGGCGACATAAGCAAAGAGTAGTTGTTGGGAGAGAAAAAAATCTAAACTGAATGACACAGGGAACTTCAGAGATGCAGCTGTGTATACCATCACCAGAGTTTCAGTGTTTTTATTTTTGTTTTAGAATCTTACTGAATCACCATGTTGCAGTAAGTAACCATTTACTTCTGACCTTGTAAGTATCACCCCAACATTAACATTAAGTTAAACTTAACTGTAATCTGTGTTGATATATTGTGTACCCTAATACACTTGCCTGAGGATCAGAGGACAAAGCCAGTCACTAGATTAGAAACAGGTCAGGCAGTGGTGGCACACACCTTTATCCCAGCACTTAAAATCTCATGCCTTTGTTTGGGAAGCACACACACCTTTAATTCCAGGAAGTAATATGGCAGGGCTGAGAAAGGTATATAAGTCTTGAGGAAACAGGAACTCACTCTCTTTAGGCTGAAGATTTCATAGAGGTAAGAGCTTATGGCTGGCTGCTCTGCTTCTCTGATCTTTCAGCTTTCACCCTGATATCTGGCTCTGTTTTTATTATTATTATTATTATTATTATTATTATTATTATTATTATTATTAAAAGCTCATCTAAGATTGGAACAACAGTAATCACTTCTTTAGTCTGTCATTTTTACCCAATCTAGGATAAGCAAATGTTTCTTTACTTCTTCCTGGGGTGAGGAGGGAAATCACACAACACTCATTTAAGGCAATCAAATTTGTTCAGGATTATTAAAGAAATCTACGTTGAAGTATGAATATTTCAAATTGCTTGATGTAGAAACATTTCGTGATAAATGATTTTTTTTAAAAAACTATCCTGAATGAGTGTTTTTGTGTGCACCCTTTCCATGGAGTTAGTTACATATACTTGAAAGAGAAGATAATCACGTTGCATGTACAAAATAAATGAAAATATATATTATACACTTCCATGTTTGAATCCAAATACAAATTCCCTTAAAGGGAAAAATTACACATATTTCAAAAAAAGATTAAAAGTACAAATAGTTGTGAGCCATCATGTGGATCCTATGTGGAAATTGAACCCAGGTTCTTTGAAAGAGAACTTAAACTCTGAACTTAACCTGGGAGTTCTCCTAACCTCTGAGCCATCTCTTCAGCTCCCTTAAGGGCTTTCGAAAAAGTGTAAATATCTTTATCCTCGAGAATTAAAATCACATATATAATGAAAAACAGTAACATCTGGTCCCATTTTCCCCTCCAACTCCTCCAATGTCTCCCAAATATGTACCTTTCCCAATTTTGTATTTTTATTTTGAGAAACCATCAAGTCTATTCAGTGTGTTCCATGTGTGCACAGGTGTGTGACCATCCACTGAAGCATATTGAATCTATTCATGTAAATACCCCCAAGAAACAAGGTTTCTCCCTCTCTGGGCAACTATTAACTGCCAATAGTTCCTGACTAAGGGACGAGGATCCCAGTAATCTTGTCCAGGGTAGACAGTGTGTTCCATAAGAGTGAGCTGCTCATTGTTGCAATCTTGACACCACTGTTTTTTAAACTGCATTACGACTAGATTTAAGGCCTGATTATCAGGAGGAAATTCCACATCTGGTACTGTAGTCCTGGTCAAAAGCCCATGAATTTAGATAGAACCTGTAATTGTTATTTTTCTGGAGTGACATTGTCAACTCGTCTTATAAATATTTATGTTTATAACCATAGGCTTGGGCTCCTCTCAAGCATGGTTAGAAAAACTGCTTTTTGAAGTGAGTAGCAATTAATAATACAAAGATACATAATTGGTCAACGTGATGAGAAGGAGAGGCTCTATGTTCACCCCCAAATAGGAGACTTTTATCAACACTCCCACTCCACCTCCTGATGAATATGTAATGGCTATCATACTCATGATCTGCTGGAATCTGTAGATACCTATTCAGACATGCACAAGATCAAGCTAATCAAAATTCCGGCACAGGTGAAAGAAAGTCTCCAGACCCTAATGTTAATGAGAAGATTATTTTTCAAGTGTGTGTGTATGTGTGTGTGTGTGTGTGTGTGTGTGTGTGTGTGTGTGCATGTGTGTGTGTTTTACACATGTGTGTGTATGTACACCTGTGTATGGAAGTCAGAAGTCAATGTTAGATATCTCCAGCATTCAATTATTTTAAACACCAAAATATTTCTAAAATGGAGGACAATATCTGAACATTACTTATAGAACATGAATACTCTTTAGAGAATACTGAATGGACATTTTCTGATTTTAATATAAAAATATAAATTTAAACAGCATAAAGTTAGCATATCGAATCTATTTACATGATAACACTTTGGAAAGTTCAACAATGTATTCTGTTATTGAAATTTGCATGGGATCAATACTTTTACACACACTGGTCACTGTGTGTAAGAAACATGAATAATGCAGAAAATTTATAAACAAATAAGCAATGTTCTTGAAGGACATATTTTTTTCTCAAAAAATAATCTAGGTGGAAAACTGCTTAGACATATCTCAGAAATCTGAGGGGTAGTTAATTGCAGGCTTTTAACTAAATAACTTGATCCATTGTCTTTTTGGGAGCTACTTTGTTTTGTTTTTTTTCAAAGGTCCTAGCAAATTTGAGCAAGGTGGAAAACAGCCATCTTAAAAATACACCATTGTATCCATTATGCTGCTTTTGTCTTGTATTTTCTCTACTTCTTTTTATTCTCATAGTGAACTCACACTTAAGACTTGTGACTTTGTCTCAGTTACTGATTTTTAGAGCACCTACATTGAAACAAGACCCCATATTTGTAAACATTTCTCCTTGTTTGCTGCTCTGTACATTCATCCTCAATAAATTGCTCATTTATGATGGATGTGTCCATATTGTTGCAGGTCCATCAAATAAGTAATACGTATATGACAAGTTAAAAAAGATGTGATCATTTAAAAATGTCTCAGGTGTTAATGTTCACGTATTATATTCTAATTATCTCATGTGTGAGGAGTATTATTATTATATGTTTTAATAACACAGTACTTGGAATACACTACCAAACAACCATTGCATTTTAAAGAAGTAAATAATCATTAGCTGAAAATTTTAGTGGCACATAATGACAGGTGAATGGATTTAAATGATTTATTTTCTAAACTGCTCTTTTGTTACACAATTGCTTACATTCAATGTTAGTTTATACTTACCTACTACCTTGAATGGTTTGTGTAATCCTTCAAGCTTCCAGAGATTAATCCATTAAACCACAATAAATATAATAATACAACAGTAAGTTATTCCATGAATAAATAGCTACTTCACCTTATAGATTTGTAAGCAAGACTTGGTTCATGACCTACTATCCTGTATATTGTAACTAAATAAAAACTTGATCTAAGTCTCTCATGTGGACATTCCAAACCACTTATGTTATGTACATTTTCCAAAATTGTTTACTCAATAACCATTTGTATAAATTTACTTATTTAATGGGAACAATAACAGTATTTCATATCATTAATATTCTTTTCTTTAGTAACAATTATTTTTCACTCAATATAGTTTGTTTTCATTTGCATTATGTATTCCAATTATCTTAACTGTAGAAACACTTCTTTTATTAGACACATTTAGAAAACATTTATTCACATTTTTGTGCTTCATGAATTGACTTCATACTTCTTATTTTGAAAGTTAATGAAAATTTCAGCTTCAGCTATTGATACACTTCATTTTTCATAATAAAATGATCCTAGAGTTTCAATATTGTGTATATCAAGAAGGTTTTTATTTATTCATCATTTTCATTATGAGTAATCATCATGTTCAATATTTTAGTCATCTGAATAAAGTGAAAAATTATACTGTGCAATGTCATGTAAATGAGGTTACTTTGTATACAAGTAAAGAAAAAGCCTGAGTTTGTGAAACACTACATATGTAAAAGGAAAAAGATTGGTTGATGAAAATAAATCCCACTCTCTACAATATATCTGTAAATTAAAACAGAGAACACCCATTGTACATGGAGAAGAAAATCTATAGTCAAATGTAAGATGAAATTTTATTACATATGATATTATCACATCTCATGACAGTTGGTCAAAAAGATCATGATTCCTGCCAAGGTCTCTGAGATATAGCAAGAATCTTTAGAAAGTGTGCTGAAAATGAACTAACAAGTTAGAGTTTAGGGCATCTTTCAATATTCAATATAAACCCACTTTAATTCTGTTTCTGCTGTAATCTTGAACTGTAAATTTAGTTGTAGTTTTTGTACAGAGACAGTCACACTGAAAAATATTTTAATTGAGTCAATGAAAATCTTTGTATTATCAAACCTGCTTGTGAGGAACAAAAGCTTTTGCAGCTTTACTCGAAGAAAAATACGACTTTTTGTATTTTGTATTTTAAAGGTGTCTTTTTCATGCTAAATGTGCAGTTAATGAAAGTAATCTGAACAAATTGTCAAGTTTCCTACATTTATTAGAGACACAACTTAATTCTACTTTTCAAGTAAATTAATTTTGTCTCAGAATTGTTATATTTATGATGGTAAAGGAAAGAATGCTGGTATATTATAATTATCATTGTTAATAAAATGTCACCTCGACAGAACTGTACAACTGACCCATTAGCTTCCCAGCCTATAGCCCTCCTCTTAACCACTTCCCTAGTTAAGGAATAAGATAAAGTTTATTAACTGTATTTACTGCTCACATGTTGCAGTAGGTCATCAGTCTTGTTGGCAAGCACCTTCGTCCATTATGGCATCTTAAAACCCCACAAAATAATATTATCTTGAAATTAATGTGCATAACCTTCTGGAAAAGCTACCATTGCTCTCTCTTGAATATATGTCAAGGAACACAATCTTTGTGGCATTATATCCACTTAATATAAAATATACTTCCAATGAGGTTATAGCTTGACTAAAACTGTAGTAAAGTTCTTAATGTTATATTTCTAAATCAGGTTTTCCATTACTTATCTTTAAAAAAATAGGTTAGACCTTTAGGCACTAAAATAGAGGAGTTTAATTGTGGATTGACTTTTCCTTTTTTAATATCTCCTAGCAAAATATTTGTTTTCATGTTGGATCCAAAGTTAGGTATTTTTCTTGAGGTTTCTGTAAAATTCTTTCTTTGTCATTTATATAATTCCTCTACTTTATCAATTCAGG